CAGCTTTGTCTCAAGACAATCTGGGGACAGAGAGGTGGCTCAGTGGTTGAGCATAGGTATTACTCTTCCAGAAGACTTGAGTTCGGTCCTCTGTACCCGTGTCAGACACTCACAATTGCCCATCAGGCAGCTCACAACTGCCTGTAACTCAAACACCAGATCTGATGCCTTTGGCCTCTTTGTGTATCCCCCCCCACACACACACACAGCATAGGCTCATGAAGAAACAAAAACAAAACACCATGTAATTTCAAACTTTTAAAAATGAAACAAAAGAGAGGGAGGGGGAGATGGGGAGGGGGAGGAAAAAGGAGGCGGGGAAGAGGTGGAAATTTTTAATAAATAAATAAATAATAAAAAAATAAAAATGAAACAAGATTTAAAAAAAAAGTTAGTTAGGAGTGGTGGCACATGCCTTTACTCTCAACACTAGGGAAGCAGAACCAGGTGGGTCTCGGAGTTTTAAGCCAGCCTGGTCTACATAATGAGTTACCAGTCAACCAGGCATAGTAAGACCCCGTGGATGTGAAGCTTCCAATGATCAGGGTCATATTTTTTGAAGATTTCATAGTGTGGTATGAAAATGCCCTAATCGGGGGCTGGAGAGGATTTAAGTAGCTTACCTTGGAAATTGGGATATCTGTGCTTTGGACTCTACATCTGAGCCAGGGTTTCTGTTTTTTGGAGACAATCGAGTTGGAGAGAGTGACTCAGATGGGTAGCATGGGATGATCATTAATAGAGATCTGTGCAAATAACTTTGGAAGCTCGAGAGGGATACACAGGGAAGATGGAGGTTTGTTAGTTATCTGTGGCCTTCATGTTTGTTTACTCCTGAATTTAGCAGCTTGAAGGAACAAGCTTTTATATTTCTTTGGGTCAGGAATGTAAATACTGTTCAAACTGGTACCTCAGCTGTCAATCTCATTAAGTGGCTTAAAATGGTGGGAAAACCCTGTTTTGAAAAACCAAAACAAGCAGGGCGGTGACACTTGCCTTTAATCCCAACACTTGGGAGGCAGAGGCAGGCGGATCTCTGTGAGTTTAAGGCCAGCCTGGTCTACAAGAGCTAGTTCCTCTAAACCTCTAAAGATACAGAGAACCCTGTCTCAAAAAAAAAAAAATAGTAGGGGAGATAATATCAAAGTTTATTTCATGAGACAATGAAAAGACCCCTTAAGAGTGCTGGCTCCTCTGGGAGTAAGTTTAAGGCCACTGAACTGTCTAACAAGTTCTAGAAAAGCCGAGGATACATATCAAGATGTTGTCTCAAAAACAACCAGATGTGAGAATAAAACGACATGAAGAAACCAGTATTTTAATGGTATCCCGTCGCTTCTCCTATACTGTATTTATATTACGAGTGGAGAAGCACGGTCCATACTTAAGAGAGGGAGAACACACAAAGGTGGGAAAACCAGGAGGGGACTATGTAGGAATCTCTAGTGTTAGAAATATTTTCTAACGCGAGCTCTCTGCTGATGCAAAATCCCAATCAAGCCAAATCAAAACAAGCCAAATTAAAAAAAATCCAGGTTTAATGGGAGTTCTGCACTCTCGGGAGGCCCCAAGGGGCCGCAAACACAACCACCGGGAGGAAGAAAAAGAGACCACAAGTTCCTCTTTTGGGAGTTCATTTAAATACTCTTGGGAGTGGTCCTGACCCACCCCCCACCCAGGGACCTGGCCTGCTGGAATTTGGAGTCCAGAGTGCTAACTCTCAGGGTCAGGGGGCTAGGATAGATGCAAGGGGCTGGGGCCTAAGCTCCCAACTTAACAACTAGAATTCAAACAGTGTTCTAAACCACTGGGCCGTCTCCCCAATTTCTTCTTTAAGGATATCAGTTTATCTTGACCTCTCTCCACAAAGGTCCTATTCACAAATAAGTATGCATTCTAAGACCTTTAGCATTGCATGTATGAATCTACAAGGGACACAATTCAACTCATAGACTGTATGGCATGAAAAGAGTGGAAAAAAAAATCTGTGATAAATCTTCATTGTCAACTTCACTAGGTCTGAAATCAGCTAAACCAATGGGCATGTCTGTAAGGGATTTTCTCTTTCTTTTTTCTTTTTAAGATTTTGTGTATGTTTTGTCTGCCTGTGTACCAGCTAGCGGTATGCTTGCTGCCTGACCCCCTGGAACTGGAGTTTCAGACGGTTATGAGCTTCCATGTGGGTACCGGGAATGGAATCTGAGCCCTCTGCAAGAACAGCACCTGCTCCTGAGTGCTCAGCCCGCTCTCTAGGCTCTGAAAGGGATTTTTCTTCATTAGGGTATTTGAAGTGGGAAGGCCCACCTTAAACGTGGGCTGCGCCTTCCGACGTCAGCCAGATAAACAGAGGTCCCAGGGGAAATGCTGCATTCTTCCTGCTTGTCTGGTCATTGCCGTCCTGCCGTGCTGGCAAGTTCATCTACCCCGTGCATCTTGCTGCTGAGCACGTGTTCCCTGCTGCTGCCACGGCCATCCTTTGTAGACATTGGAACCCAGCTTCTTCAGCCTTCGGACACGGACTGAAGACCAGTGTCTCTTCAGGAATCCTCTTGGCTTTCAGCATTAGATTGGGACCGCTGAAGCATCCAGTGTCTCAGCCTCCCCAATATATTGTTAGACTGCCCAAACCACATCATTTAAGCCAACCTAATAATCATCTTTTATTTTAAAAGTTTTAGGAAACATTTTTTATACTGTGTGGTATATATTTGTGCCCACACATGTATGGTGCATGTGTGGACATCAGAGAACAATGTGTGGGTCCTGGAGTTCAATCTCAGGTTATCAAGCTTGGTAGCAAGTGCCTTTTCCTAATGATTCATCTCATCGGCTCAAATCCCCCTTTTCACATATTATATGTTATATAGGATAAATGTATTCTATTGATTTTGTTCATCTAGAAAACCCTAATAGACAAATTAAATGTTTGTCAACAGGGAAATGGATTGAATCTGCTATGAAATAGAATAATATGACATAATGTTAAAAGATGCGCTTCTCAGGCTGGTGAGATGGCTTTCTCGGGGAAAGATGCTTGCAGCACAAGTCTAAAGATTGGAGTTGGAACCCTGAAACCCGTGTAAAGGGAGGGAGAGAAATGGATCCACAAAAGTTATCTGACTTTGCGCACACACACACACACACACACACACACACACACACACACACACACATATTTTAAAATTTTAAAGTCTGGGAGCTTAGTAATTGGGGATGAAGTATATTTAGATTACAGTGGACATGTTTGGCTACAAGCTCACTGATCAACAAAAATGAAGATTAAAAAACACAAACAGTACAGGACTCTTGTGTGATACAAAGTTGCAGTGGGATTTTTATCAGACCTTCAAGGACTTGAGTCCAGGAGTTTCCAACAAAGTCTCCCTGTTAAATTCAGTAATTGTTGACCGAGGGCTGGAGCTGTGAGCTGTTGGTAGAGGGCTTGTGTTCCTAGCATGCACAAAACCCTAGTGGGTTAGTCCCCAGCACCCCATACACTAGGATGGTGGCATACTCCTGGAAACCTAGCCCATACTCACACACACACACATCAACGCATCATATACACATACATAGAATTATAAAACCTGGAAAGAAAAATTGAGTTCTACTTTCCAGAAGAGGAGGAACATCCAAGTCAGCTGGAGGCAAGGATGGGGCAAGCAGGAGTCTAGAGGAAGTACCCTGGGCAAGGGGTCGAGTGGACAGGAAGAGATGTAGACTGTTGCACCAGGCAGAGGGAATACATTTGGAATTGCCTCTATTAAAGTATTTGCAATAGGAGATGGAGAGATGACGCAGCGGCTAAGAGTACTTGTTCTTTCAGAGGACCCTGGTTTGGTTTCCAACACCAATGTAGAGGCTCACAGCTATCCATAGCTTCGGTTCCAGGGGATCTTCTAACTTCCTTATGACATACATACATACAGGCAAAACATAAAATAAAATGAATAAATTTTTTTTAAAAAATTAAATATTTGTGATGGCTAGTTCTTTATTTGTTGTTTAATGGTTTTGGGGTACTACTGATCAAACCAAGAGCCTTAATTCTAAAACTTAGAAGGCTGAGGTAGGCCACAAGTTCAAGGCCAGCCTGTGTTAAAATAAGCACCAGGTCAGCCTCAACTAAATGGCAAATTCTTCTTTCATTAATGATAAAAATTTCCCAAGCCTTGTGTATGTTAGGCAAGTGTCCTACCCCTGAATTAGTTAAAGCTCTTGAAGTCTGTCAATTTTTCACATGACCGTGTTTATAGAATTTAACCCATATGATGGGTCCTAATTTTTAATGGGAAGAAGGTACAGTCACTATGGTTGACTGTAATCTCTCCATTTTTCTGAAGTTCTGATTCTTTTTACTCGATTTAATCCTTAAAAAAAAATCTCCCATCTTTTAAAAACTATGACTGGGTGTTTGGCTAGCATGATTGTCAGTGCACTTCTTGTATGCCTGGTGTCTGGGCCAGAAGAGGGCCTTGGTCTCCTGGAACTGGAGTTACTGTTGCAGGTCACCATGTGAGTGCTGGGAACTAAACCCAGGACTTCTGGAGGAGTAACCAGTGCTACTACCTGCGGAACTATCTCTCTAGCCCCATTACTCCATTATTGATGTTTTCAGTTAGTTTTATTACTATTGTTCCCTCCATCTAGTGAGTTCTGACTGTTCAGCATCATATATACAGATTTCATTCAAAGCTAAATTGTTTTTATTTTGAGACTATGTGATATAGCTCAGGCTGGTCTTGCTGCCTTCATGCATCCATGGATGACCTTGAACTTCTAAATTTTGTGTATTTATTTATAGGTAGGTCTCCTGTTTCCCAAGCTTGCTTTAGAATCGTTATGTAGCCAAGGATGATCCTGAACCCTTGATTTTCCTGCCTCTACTACCCTAGTGTTGTGATTATAGGCTTGTGCCACCATGCCAAGTTTTGATATGGTGCTGGGGTTCAAAATCAGGACCTTATATGCTAGTACTTTACCACCTGAGCTACCTCCCTAGCTGTCCTGGACTTCCGGCTCCACCTTCCTAATGCTAGAATAATAGCAGCCCCAGTCAAGCATAAAGCTTTTGTCATTAGTATTGTTTCTGCCAGATGTTATCATAACCTTTCTAAGAGTAGGAACCAAAGTTCAAACTCTTCCCCATCTCAAAACTCCCTAATTTTCCCTCTTCATTCAAAACCCTGCACATATGTATGCCGTCCCATTTTCTTTTTTTATTTTAGCTATGGTGCTAGCACAAAGGTACGAGAATTGCTCCTTGTAGGAGCTTGTAGGAATTGCTCCTCTCCTTCCACAATTTGGATCCTAAGGATTGAATTCAGGTTTGTCAGCTTTGTGACAAGCACCCTTATCTGCTGAGCCCCCGCAGTCTCTCTGGAAAATGTTTTAATTTATAGTGTCTGTATTAGTATATGCCACATTTCTGCAGGTGCAGGCGGAGCCAGTGAAGGGTGTTAGATCCCCTGAAGCTAGAGTTGCAGGGGTTGTGAGTTGTTCCTTGTGGGTGCTTGGAACACAACTCCGGTCCTCTTCAAGAGCAGAAAGAGTCCTTAACTGGCAAGTCGTTCCTCCAGGGCCATGCTCTCTCTTGACATAACATGCCTTCTCCAACTCCTATTAAAACAAAACTCAAACAAATCACCTATGCCGGCTGACTGCTTTCTCACCCTAGTGGGCCTCATCCCCTACATATCCTGAGATGGTTTTTAAGACCCTGGCTTTCTGGACCTCTCAGCAGTTTTTGACTTTGTGACCACTCCTTCTGAAGGCTTCCAGGACTCTAGGGTCACCTAACTTTTCCTATTCTTCCCCTTTCTTACACACTGGCTAGTTAATTCTGTTTTGTTTTTCTGTACTTGGAATCTAACTGAGGCACACATGCTAGAGAAGTCAGCCAATAAGCTTGCCCAGTTCTCCTTTTGGAAATGCAGAGACAGAATCTTCCTATATGTCCCAGGTTGTCCTTGAACTCATGATTCTCAACTACTCTCTTGGGTAACTCAGGTTATAGGCATTCACCACCATACTAAGCTTCTCTGCTCTCCTGTGTTATTTGTCTGCTCCCTCTTCTTCATCAGATCTCTGATGGTAGGTGGGCTCTAAAGACATAGATCACAACTTTTTTTTTCTCTGTTCATATCTTCCACCTGGGGGTTCATTGAGTCCCACGATTTGACGTACACTTCTGGATCAATGATGCTCAAATCTGTATAACTAGTCCCTAACATCTCTGAACTCCCTTATGTAACTGTCTACCCTGCATTTGCATTTGTATGCTTGGCCACCCAGAATTCAGAAAAGGTGAGTATAGTGGTACGTACCTGTGATCCCAGCACTGGGAAGAGTGAAGCACACAGAATACTGTGAGTTTGAGATTGCTGGGAGCTCGAAGCCAGGCTGGGCTACATGAGATTTAGTTCCAAAAACAATGACAACCGAAGAACCAACCAAACAAAACAGCAAATCCAACCTCCTCACCAACTGGTTAAAACTCCCCAATAAGCTGAGCATGGCAGCACCAAGGAAGGAGGGGGTGCTGTGAAATCGAGGTCAGCCTGGGCTACATAGCAAGACACAATCTCAAACAAAAGCAGAAATAAGATAAACTCTCCAGAACCTTCCCATCCCACCTACAGTAGCCCTCCCTTTTGCTCCCAAAGCCTTTTGCAAACAGAGCTGGTTTACCTCTGACCACAGTGTGTCCCAGCCAGAGTAGCCTCCTTCCCATTCCTGCTATGATGGTTTGGTATTAGTTATTCCCTTGCCAGGAATGCTGTTCCCTTGAGCTTGGCTGGCTCTGTCTTTATCCTTCACATCTCTCCTAAATGCTCCTTCCTGAGAACTCACCTGACCACTCTGTCTCAAATAGCCATGGAAGACCTATCTGTGCAACACGCCTTCAACGCTCTGGGAAGAACTATTTCCTTCCAGTTTTCAAATTGTAGTTGTTTCTCGTTCTGCATGAGAAAGTAAACTCAATGACAACAGGGACTTTCTCTTGTCCATCGCTAATTCCTTAATATTTAGAGCAGTGCCTGGCACAGAGCACAAGCTATTTATTTGTGACAGTCTTACTCTCTAGCCAAGGCCGGTGGGTCTACAACTTAACTCTGTAACCCAGAGTGGCCTCAGATTCCCAGCAATCCTCCTGCCTCTGCCTCCCAAGTATGTGCTGGAATTACAGGTAAGATCAACCATACTCAGTAAAAAGCTTGATACTTGAATGAATAAATGAAATATATTCTTTCTGTTTGACACCACCTTGGTCAGAATCACAAAGCCTAACTTTGTAAGTCAGTTCTGAGAAGCATCTGTATTGAATTGAAATGTTAAAAAAGAAAAACTGAGTTGAATTACTACACAATTAAGTTGGAAAGCGTCCGCTGTTTACGTGCTTTTGGATAGCAACTCTGTATGTCAGGAAAGTGGTTTTGTAGGGCCTGTGGCTGCAAATGTAATACTTGGGGAGTCTGAGGCAGGAGGAGCCATAGTCCCAGTCAAGCCTGGGCTACAAAACAAGCTCCTGTCTCAAAGTAGGAGGAGGGAGAGGGGGAGGGGGAGGGGGCAAAGGATGAAGTAGAGGAGGAGGAAGAAGAGGAAGAGGAGGTGGAAGAGCTGGCAGACTGCTTCTGCAGCCTTGTCGCTAACGCAGCGAAATGCAGACAACAGAGCATCCTGGCGGTTGCCTTGCAGGCAGCTTTCTCGTTTGGAGCCACCATGAAGGCACGAGGGTTGTGGGGCCATGGCGTCGTACTTTCTCTGTCTGCTTAGAGAGACCATGTGAGGCTCAGGAACAGCTGGAAGAAATGGAACAGGAACAATTACACTACTTGGGGCGAGGAGGCTCCATCAAAGCAAGTACCTTTACCGATTGAGCCATCTCACCGGCCTGTGTTATTTATTTATTTAAAACTTAATTTGGTTTTGTTTTTTTGAGACAGCCTCCCTGGGTTTCCCTGGCTGACTTGAAACTCTAAGTAGATCAGACTGGAATTCAAGCTGTGTATTGAAGGCCTGGCCTATTTACTTTTATGTATATGGATGTTTTGCCTTCATGTATATCTGTGCATCACATGTGTGCCTGGCACCCAAGGTTGTTAGCCATTAAGTGATGCGGGAGAATTGTCTGTATTCTGTCAATCATATTTTAATAAAACGCTGATTGGCCAGGCAGGCAGTATAGGTGGGAAAACCAGACAGGAAGTAGAGGTGATGCAATGAGAACAGAAGAATTCTGGGAAGAAAGGAGGTTCCTTTGCCATTCCTGCGCAGACCACTGAAGAGGCAACATGTAAGCTGACAGCTGAAAAAGGTACTGAGCCCGTGTGGCTAACATAGATCAGAATAATGGGTTAAGATAAGTCATAAGAACTAATAAGTAGCCTGACCAAATGGGCCAATCAGTTTATAACCTTATGGAGTCCTGTGTGTGATTTTCTTTGTTGCTTGCCGGCTGTTGGGGTACCAGGAGGGACAGAAACCCCAACAAGCTGGCCCTCATGTTACAATTAAGTAGATGCTAAGAATTGAATTAGGGTCCTCTAGAGGAGCAGTCAGTGCTCTTAACCTCTAAGTCATCTTTTCAGCTCTTTCTTATTTATTGATTATTTTTTATTTATTTATTTTGAGACAAGGTTTCACTCTGCAGCTATGTAGACCAGGGTGGCCTCAAACTCACACAGATACACCTCTCTCTACCTCTGGAGTTTGGGATTAAAGGCATGTCCCGCCATACCTGGTTTGCTTAATTTTTTTTTTTTAAAGACAGAATCTCATGTAGTTTGGACTGGTTTCAAACTTACTATATATCTGAGGATGACCTTGGACTCCTGATTTTTCCTACTTCTACTTTCCAAGTGCTGGGATTACAGGCCTGTACCATCACACTTGGCTTTGTTTTTCCCAACTAAAAAAGTGGAGCTGGGTGTGACAGTTCATATGCCCGTAATTTCAGAACCATGAGAAGCAAAGGCAGGAGAAAGGCCATGAATTCAAACCAGCCTGGAACTTGCTATATAGGGGCTACATATGAAGACCCTGTCTCAAAACTTTAAATAAAACTGAATATTGAGTAAGGTATGGTGTAATCCTGATACTCAAGGTAAGGCAGGAGAATTGTGTTTGAAGCCAGACTGAGATATATAGTGAATCTTTGCTAAAAAAACAAAACCAAAGACAAAACAAACAAACAAACAAAAAACCCGAAGACAAAAAGAAAGAAGGAAAAGAACAAAAGGGAGCTAGCCTAGTAGGTAAAAGTGCTTGCTGTACAAGTCTCATGACCAGAATTCACATCCCTGGGACCCATGTAAAAAGCTAGATACAGTGTCTTACATCTGTAATCCCACTGCTTATTGGATAGACCCAGGAGATAGATGACAGATAGATAGATAGATAGATAGATAGATAGATAGATAGATAGATGATAGATAGATAGATAGATAGATAGATGATAGATAGATAGATAGATAGATGATAGATAGATAGATAGATGATAGATAGATAGATGATAGATGATATATAGATAGATAGATAGATGAATAGATAGATAGATGATAGACAGATAGACAGATGATAGACAGATGATAGATAGATGATAGATAGATAGATAGATGATAGATAGATAGATGATAGATAGATAGATAGATAGATGATAGATAGATAGATAGACAGATGATAGATAGATAGATAGACAGACAGACAGACAGACAGATAGATAGATAGATAGACAGACAGAATTATCATCTGGAAGCTGAAGGGCCAGTATAGAGCACAATGGAAGAAATAAGAGATCCTGCCTCAAAACAAGGTTTGAAGTTGAAAACTGACTCTCACTGACCTCTACATGTGCATTGTAGAGGACGGACACACACACACACACACACACACACACACACCTTGTGTTTTTAAAAGGGAAAATCACTGCTTAGGGAATGTTTTGGCCAGGTGTAGCCATGAAGGCACACGGAATCTACCACAGCTATGGTCCAAAGGGATCAGGCTATGTCGTAGGCTGGCAGGAGAACCTGCCACCATCCACATGATACTGGCTTTGCAAACAGGACAGATGCAAGAGTGAGGGGATCATGGAAGCTTGTGTCAAACTCTAGAAAGCCGTGGAAGCAGCATGTCCTGGGGTTGTAGCTGTAGTCCCTGCACAGAGCTCCTGAGGGGGCTCACGTTATGGAGATGATGCTTGAATTACAGTGATCACGGGATAGTGAAAATGTCAGGAACACAGATGCCCAGCAAAGAAGTTGCAGACACTGAGTGAAGCCGGCCCTAGCGAGAAGCCATGGATGTTGTACACTACAGAGCTGAGGGGAAGAAGGTCAGATCCTAGCTATGGATGACAACTTGTCATGCTTGCCCTGCCCAGGTTTTGTCTTGTTTAGGTTTGAACTTTCCTCTCTGTACCCCCATTCTTCCCTTTAGGATGGAAATATTTGTTCTGTGCCATGTATATTGGAAATGTGTTTTGACTTTACAACAGTTCAATATTAAGAGGTTACTTTGAGTCTGAGGGCAGACTTTCAACTTGGACTTTTGAACAGTGTTGAAAATGTTAAACCTTAGTGAACGCCTCAAGATACATTAGAAGCATTTTGTGTAATGGGCTCACCATGAGACTTTGAGAACTAGGGATAGAATGCTATGGTTTAAAAGAGATATGTCTAGATGACAAGTTGGGACAAGGTGGTCTTGTAATGGTTACTATTCATTGACAAATTCAGTGGATTTAGAATCACCTAGGAGACATACCCATAGATGGAAATCTGTGAATGTGTTTCTGGAGAGGTTCAACTGAGGGGGAAGATCCACCTTGAGTATGAGTGGTACCCTCCTGGGTCCTAGACTGAATAAAAGAGGGAAACAAAGAAGGTTGATAAGTACTACCATCCATCCATTCATCCCCTCTCCCCGATCTACCCAAATGTGCACAAGCATCCTTATGCTTCTGCTACCACAGGCACGGGCCACTCCCACTGCCATGCCTTCCCTAACTTGATAAACTATATCAAGTTATGAGGTAAAATAAGTAATTCCTTTCCCTATTTTAAACCTTTCTTTCTTAAGCTGGTATAGCAACAAGAAAAGTAACCTATTTGTGCGGTTCCAGGTTTAGAGAATTCGCTGTCTTTAAACAAAGCCAAATGATAGGGGCAAAAAAGAAAAGAGGTGGCAGTACATGTGGGATGTGACTCATAAGAGAAACAGCTATCCCAGGCCACCTACTTTTCTCTCCTCTGCTGTCTTACTCCCAAACATCATAAAAGCACTGGAAGAGGCACTTGGGAAAATAGCTAACTCTTGCTGAAGGCTTCTCATGTGCTGGATATGACAAGTTTTTTAGATTAAGTCATTTTATCTTCATGAAAAACTTATAAAGAGTCATTATAACACCTGTTTTTCAGATACGAAGCCCTGGGCAGGTAATTAATGTGCCCAGATTACACAGTCAGTCGGAGCAGGCAAGCTGATGCCATTGCTTGGACCCTGAATCACCTTATCACACTGTCCTAGTGAATGACATTTCAGTGGGCGTGAGTATTTGTCACGGCTTTAGTGCTTTGAGATTTCAGAGGAGGATGAATCAGGAGAACTCAAGGTAAGGGCCTAAGTATAAAATCCCACAAGCCAGTGCCTACATTCGACTCTTTAGTGTTCGTTAAGAGCCTGTGTTGAAAAGGCGAATGGGGAATCTTCAGGTGTCTTGAGGGGACTATGGGTCCCCAGTCCCTTTGTCTTCCTTTATTGAATTGAATAGAGTCCTGGAGTTGAGCGTCTTTGTTCTATGATGTGCTACAAACATAATATGTGCCTTGTCACCGTCCTAAATTCAGCAGGGCCAACAAGTAAATCTGCAAATCAAAGCCAACCTGTTTGTTTCTCTG